GCTGCCGAAATAGATGTCGATAAATAGGTCGAAAGATGCGACGCAACTAGTTTCGATACATTTCGCCATTTTTTTAGGGCGTCCCGCGACTCGCTTAGTTATTTATAGAAAAATATCGAAAAGTTGAATTGAATAAAAAAACTAGTTTTCAACTTGATACTCCGTGAGAATACCGGGTGGCAGTTTATTATTTGCGAAATGTGTGTAGGTGTGTTCATCAAAATTAAAAACTAATGAACAAAGAAATAGATAGAATACGTACGTACAAATAAAAACATAATGATTGTAGAGCAAATTTTTTTTTAATAATTGAACATTTTAACCGCGAATTTATTGTATGGGAAACAAAAGGCAAAGATAGCCACGATTCCTTCGCAGACTATATTGATTAAAGATATAGTTTTTCTAATTTAATTAATTATTGCGTGGTACACACTTGTTTCCCTTGATTTTGCAGTGGGTGAGTTAATCCTTTGAAGGGCACGAAACAATGTCCATTCGATTCTATTTTATTTGTGTAGAGCTGGTTCTTAAATTTATTTTCTCTAAGATAAACACATATTCAACTTTAGCCACATAAAGCTGTTACATCCCATTTAAAATAAATTTAATTCTACACAGCCCTGTATCTGATGTAAAATTAATCAAACGAAAATTAGGATAGCCGCGTATCTATTCAGAATTCGCTTCTGCCTGACCGGTTTTATTTATTATGTAAAGTGCGTTCTGTCAATGCAAATGAGTCGTTATGCGTTAAACACAAAAGCGAGATGGAAATATACCGAAACCGGTTGTTGGAGCGAGAGGGGTGTACACGGATTCTTTTGAAAGTAGGCATAGTAGTTTGGAATCAGGAAATAGGCATATCTGCACCAAACTAGAACTACACGACCTTGTTGGCATGTGTGTCTACATGACATTTTGAGTTTAAATAAATTTGCCTAAATATTTATGTTTTAATTAAATAGCAGAGAATAAACGGGTATTAATAGAAGTTAATAGCTAGGAGTAAATTCAGAAACGAGAAAAAAATATTATAAATGAATCAATATTTAATGGACAAGAATGCGTGGACTCTACTTTTTTAGCTCAGACTTCGTTTCTAAATTATTTTGCTTGTAATAAGGTTATTTCTTTCTTTCTTTCTTTTTTACGGCCGACAAAGTGTCCTGAAAAGAGTCAATATTTAAATGATATAACTAAATATTGTTAATATACCAAGTCTTAACCTTTAATAAAATACATAGGCTCTATTTATAGACGATTTCCAAGTTTATAATTTAATCTTCACTGTATTTTTTGTACGTAACATTTGGAACAGATTATCCGCTTATGAAAACTTTTTCACTAAGCTATTCTCGTGCTGATTTATAATAAATTATATTATATTATAATACTATGAAATATCCATCTTATAGCCTCTTTGGCGATGATTAACTTATTTCTAATATAATGTAATAAACAGACACATACAGTTTTTCTGATTGAAAAATCACGAAAAAGTGAAATAAGTGAATTTTTCGTGTTTTTTTTGCATTATGCCTATTAGTGTGGTTTTAGCAAATCTTACATAACAAATTAATCAATAGGAACGCGACCCAAATGTCAAAATGTCAGGGTCAACTATTCGTGAATGCTGTTGGTTTTTACGCGTGTTATAATAATGTATTTCGGCACGGATTTTTCATGCAACCTGCCTGCTTTTTTAACATGAAATGTGCGTAAAAATATTTTAAATTTAAATGACAAGTTTATAGGAAAAATAACGTTAATTTGCATAGAATTAACTTAAGAGCGTTGTCACATTTTTCATGCAGAAATCGAGAATTTGGCAGATTTCGAAATGATTTTAGTCATATAATTTATTGTTATAGCTTCTTTTGACTTATATCATCGTAATTATCATACGTTTTTACGGAATGTCTATTGACAAAATCTCGTTCAAATTGGATTTTTGCCTACGAAAACAGCGAATTTCGAAAGCCCGATTTCCAGGTAACTCGCGAAGGCACAACTTTGAACTAATATTACAACAAATTTATTTCTAAGTAAGAAGATAAAATGTATTCATTAGAATAAGCATACCCTGAAGAAGAAAGTGTATTGAGAAAATTTTGATGTTTAATTCATTAAAATGCATTTTTATCATGTCTAAGATAGTCAAAATTCGAGAAAATTACTGCAAGAAAACAGGTCACATCTCATAATCTAAAAGTCATTTGGCAACATAAACTACTTTATACTTAAGAAGAAACATAGTACTATTATTGTGTGAAAAAGAAAAAATATCTATCTTCAATCTTCAAATGAAAAATTAATTTGAAAATACTATAAAATCGGGTGCATCAAATGGCATAAATCAGTCGTGCTTTGGCACTCGTAGACGCCGGGTCTATGTCAGTTGACTGCCCACTGACGTATATGCGTCACGCGTGATTTTTTCGTAAATTGTAGTATGATTGAGTACTTTTGATCCGCAAGTATTTTTAATTTATTTGTTTAGGTAAATCGGACTTGTAATTTCTTTCTTTTCAAACTTTTTATTATTTTACTTACAGAATATGGGTAGAATAGATAAAAGATATTATTATGGTATCTGTTTGGTCAGGAAAAAATAAATGACTAATAAAAATTTTAACAGGGTGTCAAAACATTAGTCTATGCTATTGTGTTTCTACCAACATAAAATATACTCTTCCTTACTAATAAAAGTTGAATAGCGTCTGTATGGTCACACAACGCTTCGTCATGTTTTTCCGAAAGTTCAATTACTGACGACTGAATGAAAGAAATTGGTGCGTAACTATTCATCTGATATTAAACGTTTAGTAATAAAGGGGTAGGTCAGGTAAATGGCAAATCCACCAGCGGTCGCTCGATGACACTTAGACAAATAGTTTTATAAAACGTCAACTAAGTTGGTTAGGTATTTGTATTGTAGATACTTATACAAATGAATGTATAAAATAAGTTTATTTTTAAAAGTATTGGTACAGGGTGGAAACGATAAGTGATTTCACTTGATTTTTAATTATACAAGATATCGAGAAACTGTTTACTGTTCCTGTAAGTGCTTCATGAGCTCTTTAAAACAATAACAATAAATATGTCAAAGAATAAACTGGATCTATGCGAAAATTCAATGTTTCCTAATTTCATACTAAATGTATGCCGCCAGCCATACCTGCCATATTAGAAGTGTTAATTTTTTAAATTTAAATTTTTAATTGAGTAATATATAATAATCAAACAATTAACTCGTAAATTGCATTCTTATTTAAATTATTTACGGAAAACATGATTTTAGGTTTAACTTGCTACAATATCATCAAGAGATACTAATTAATAAATACTAGATAAACAGATAAAGGGGACGGCATTAATACTCTCATCATCACTCAGAATTCTCAGAAACCATTGATTTCGTGTTTGTTTGTAACTGTATTAAATGTATGAAAGCTGGAAATATAGGTTTTTTGAATAGATTCAGTTCGTTCTTAAACATATTATTGATGCCGTTCGCTAGGTCTCATGAAGCACTTTTTCAGTAAGTAACCATTTATAATTTTCAAAAAAGTAACCATTTGTTCGACATCTTGTATACCTACTATAAGAAATATTCGAGTGAGATCACTTATCGATTATTTTCGTCATCCTTATTTGTATTAAATTTAATTAAAATATACTAAGGCTGAGATGCACCACCTAACTTTGACCCTAACTGACAATAACCGGTGTTTTATGTTAGACAGATTTTTGACATCCAAAATTTTAATGTCAATGTTAAAGTAATACGGTGCAACACGGCCTAACAAATGTAACAAATGTATAGGTATATGTAGACAGTACTTTTTATTTTCTTCATAAANGAAACAAAATATTTGTCTTAATACAAGTCTGGGATAGCTATTATTTTACATTTTGTTAATAGCTGTATACCTTAGCTGCCATTTTGATACGTTTGTTTTGTTAGCACAGTGTACTGTGAATGATTACTCTCTGGGCATGCCGTTCTTTTATATGAGTTTATTGTTTCATAGGAAGTATATCAACACTGAGTAACTGTACTCTCTAGGTCACGCGCGAGGAATTTTCGTCGAGCGTAATTCACCGATCACATATTTTAATCAGGATATATAATACGCCTTAATAATTAACAAAATCGCTAGGACGTAGAATAAAACGAAAAAAAAAACAGCCTAAACTTCTGACACGTGCACTGTATGTTACTTTTCTTTTACTTACCTAAGTTTGAGTCAACAATAAACCTAACAACATGTTAGCAGCAGGTCATTGACATGTATAATAAAGTCATTATCATTGGTTCAAAAAGTCCCTTTGTGGATTATTATTGTTTATTATTTTTACAAAGTATTGTAACTACATTTTGTTTGCTCCTTTTTGATTGTGCTTGGTTTTTTAATAATTTACTGTTTGTATGACCGAATGCGATGTTGAAGCTCATTGGAGGATGCATTCAGCAGTGGACGTTCTGTGACTGAAATGATGATGATGAATAACGAATAAAGAATAGGTATATTCTTAGCCTGACTTGCACCATCTTACCATAACATAGACAAACGTCAAAAATCTGTCAAACTCCATACAAAAACACTGGTTATTATTACGGTTAAAATAAGGTGGTGCAACTCAGCCTTACCTAGTTGTTCTGTTAAATGTGAAGCTATGAATATGAAAATGTTAACTCTATAAATAAACACAAACGAATTAAAAATATACTTAAATCCAATGAAAACCAATAAGGTCATAATAAAATTATTTGCAGCGTGTTTGCAACAAGTTACCAAAACTGTTTTTATGTGTTTCAACCAGTTTACAAATTTTAGTGAGTGTATTAAATAAATATCCTGATTCAAATAATATGTGATCGGTGAATAACACTTGACGAAAATTCCTCGCGTGTGACCTAGAGAGTGTAGTTGCTCGCTCAGTGTTGATATACTTCCTATGAAACAATAAACTCATATAAAAGAACGGCACGCCCAGAGAGTAGTAGTCATTCACAGTACACTGTGCTAACCAAATAAACCTATCAAAATGGCAGCTAAGGTATACAGCTATTTACAAAATGTAAAATATTAATTCCATATAACTATCCCAGACTTGTTTTAAGACAAATCTTTTGTTTCCAGTTCGTCGTTGTTGCTCTCCTGGTGGCGGCCGCTCACGGCAGCGCGATCCACGGCGCCGACTACACCAGCTTCTCGTACGGCGTGTCCGACCCGCACACCGGCGACGTCAAGAGCCAGCACGAGACCCGCGTCGGCGACAGCGTCCGCGGCCAGTACTCGCTGCTGGAGTCCGACGGCACGAAGCGCACCGTAGACTACGCCGCTGACGCGCACAGCGGCTTCAACGCCGTCGTCCGCAAGGACCCCGCTCTGGTCGCGCACGCCGCCTACGCCGCGCCCGTGGCCCACGCCGCGTACGCCGCGCCCGTCGCCCACGCCGCTCCCGTCGCCTACGCCGCGCCCGTGGCTCACGCTCCCGTCGCGTACGCCGCGCACGCCGCCGCTCCCGTCGCCGTCTCTGCCTACTCCACCTCCCTCGCCCACGGCGCGCCCCTCGCCCACGCCGCGCCCCTCGCCTACGCCGCTCCCCTGGCGCACGGTGTTTAGATTTACAAAAACTAAATATTTATTATTAACTTTTAGATAATAAATAATTTGAATGGCACTTACGATGTTTAGTTACGAGCTCTTTGATGGACACAGATATTATAGATAACGTTTAAAAAATGGCACGCTCGTTTTCATACATTTCATTCTATTTATTTAACCTATCCATATTTATGTGCGGAAACGTCACAAAATCAGAATAAATTTTAATTTTTCCAACCCGCATCATAAAAACTAAAAAGTCAGAAGTAAAATTTAAATAGTAAATATTTTTCATAAACAAGCTTTTGATGCTGTAAAAAGAATAAAATAAAACATAAATTCTTTCAAACCCATCAACTTATTACTTTACTCAATTTAAAGATTAAAAACTTGTCGCGAGATTTACTAGTGCAAAAAATACATTATTTACGTAACTTGATTTTGCTAAAAGTCTGATCAGAGAAAAAATCAAATAGGTAAATTATACATTATTTCTTTATTATTATGTATGATGTACTGTCTTAGGTACGATACAACTACGGATTAAGATCGTTTAGTCGACGCAGCGTTGAAATTGTACAGATAAATGCAGTTTGCGCACTCACTACGCGACGTCAAGCAATAAAAACCTAAAATTCGAACGCCAACTTTTTGCTACAACGCTCTTAAGAAATAATAAAGTTAACATTAATATAAACGTTTTCAAAATGAACGACGGTTATATTATATTAGATGAATGGCGAAGCCTTCATGTGTGTAATATTTCCATTTTATACGTCATTATCGAGTGTGATCGACTCCCAAAAAGTAACTAAAGTTTTGAGTAATTTCACGTAACTTAACTTAGGGCTATAGCCCTAAATTAAATACAGTGTACTATGACCGGCAGCGAGATGAAACTAAATATTTAAGAAACACTTCGTTCACTCCAGTTGTAAATTCTCCAACTCATAACTAATGATTATAATTGGATGTAAAAACTAAACAAAAGTTTTGGATTTAATTATCACTGATCTTCAGTATAATTATTTACCGTTTTTCATAACTTATTCGCGCACAATTAAACTATGTGATCAAAGATGAATAAAATAATTTGCGAACCGGTAATTAGCTAATGTCTTTATCAATTTCAGCCGTCTGAAATATTAAGGCTGGGTTGCACCATCTTACTTTAACATTGACAAACGTCAAAAATCTGTCAAATTCTATACAAAAAACACCGGTTATCGTTATCATCATCATCATTTCAGCCATAGGACGTCCACTGCTGAACATAGGCCTCCCCTAATGCTTTCCACGTTGATCGATTGGTAGCGGCCTGCATCCAGCGCTTCCCTGCTACCTTTACGATGTCGTCGGTCCACCTTGTATCTTATAGTTATAGTCTTATAGTTATAGCTTATTGTTATCGTTATAGTTACGTTCAACGTTAGGTGGTGCAACTCGGCCTAAGTAATAGCACATTTCTGAAAGTTTATTAAACAGGGAGTTCTTTCACTAGTGATGCGTAACGGATCGATAAGTCGGTAAAAATTAATTGACACTTCTACGAAGTTTATGTCAGACGTTTCCCGTGTTTTTACCAATATCTAGGTTTTCTCAGTCCATACCAGATCGGATCCTTCGAAGAAATCTTAACATTCTTCTCGTTAAGGTATTGAATATCAAAACATTACTTCTTATTACAAAAATATTTGAATTGGGATAATATGTATTTCCTCCTTTCAAATACCTAGACTAGGCGTACGTTATCTATAACTAAGTAGGTAGTAGTTTTCAGAAATTAATTAGGTATACATACGCATATAAACAACAAACAAAAACAAAAACACAAAGAAAAGTCGAGTTCATATTCAAATTGTAGGCAAATACGATAGTTTAAAACAAATCATAATAAAATGGTTTCAGGTATATAAGAAACGACTCATTTTCAAATCGAAATCAGGTACATACTACGCCAATAAGTTGAAAAAAAAAATTACTTAAGTATTCATTACATTACATTTTGTTACCTAATAATAATGAGTAAAACACAAAAATAGACCTAATTTAAACCACCAGTCTATTTTTGGGCAGACTATCGTATCGATATACTTTTTTTAATGCATTGTCACCATTACGCAGCAAAATAAGTTAAAATTCTTGTAGGAATGTGTTTTGGTTATCCAAAGGCGAAACTCCGAAACTTCATGTGAATTTTAAAGTCTTATAAATAAAAATAAATTTAGATACTAATAGATCCAGGATACAATGTATTGCCTTGAACTCGAGAGGACCGGCAAGAACTCAAGGTAGAGTTTGCATGAATTGGTAATTTTACAAAATTTTGTACATTCATAATCTTTTGTTAATTCAGTGACAATGACAATGTTGAGGGTTATTCACGTACAAAAAACAAAATTTAAGGGTAATTCAGATTTTGTTCTGAAATACATTACATAAAATCCTTATAAATTAAATAGAAAAAGAATTTAAAATATCGTATTTCGAAAGTAGTGATGTGTATATTTATAGGTCCTAAATCAACAAAAGCACCATGCGCGCTTCGTAACGTACGACACGACTACGATTCGTTCGATTGGCTTTCGATTCAAAGGATAGTGCCAGGGTCTGGACCAAGTGTTGCCCAGAATCAACCCATAGTGCATTTTGTTCCTCAGGCCTATACTAAATTTTTTTTGTATTTATTTTCGTGATAGTTATTTTTTTTAATAATATTGTACTCCATGTTTTCAAAACGGACTAAAAATAGTTTTTTAGATTCGATTTTGTAAAAAAATAATAATAATTTAGCGGGTGAAATTTTAAAAATTATATTACGCATGTTTCAGAGTTGGATATGATCAGAAATTATCCTTGATTTCTAATACTTTTAGCAATCGTGAAAACAAATTGCATGCATTGAAATTTTCAAAACTTTAATTTGTTCAAATTCTAAGTTCAAAGCAAGATCTCAAGAAATTGACATAAATAATTTTCTCGAGACGCCGATATGAGCAGAGACAAACTAAATAACAAAGTGACGTCTACTCCAGCCGATTCCGCGAATTAGTACAACGAAAATCCGCCCAAATACGAAGAAAACCCGCGCACCAAAACGAATTAGAACAAAAACTTTCGTGAAGGCAGAACGGGCCAGCAATTACCTAAACTGAACCCATAGTCTTACCGATACAGGTGGATTGATCGGACAAACAGTGGAATTTATAAAACCGTTACGCAATGCATTTTTTAGGGTCGCGAGGTAGTCAGCGCTTTTCAGAAATTACAGCGGGTGGGGTGGTGGTGCGAGCGGTGGCGGGATATGACGTTCGATTTAAAGGGTAGGCGCGGGGTGGGGAGGGGTGGGGCGTCGCTGCAGGCCGGCTGTTGACGGGCGCCCGGCGCAGGCGTACTGCCGCCGCCGGCGCCCACCGCCGCCCGATTTCCGTGCCGATGACAGTTGGCCCGGACTTACTTCCTCGTACTCGCGTGTCCGCGGCTCCGCAGGGCCCGACTCCTAGTTCCTGGCCTGGCCGGCCCGCGCTGATCTCCACGTCGCGCCCGATGGCAGATTGACGTTCCACACGTAAGTACATCTCCCGCCGGCTGCAGTTTCTGTGCCGCGCCACTGTTGAACTGACGCGCAGTCTGAATGAAGACGTGTCGTGCTCGTGACTATTTTGAGGACGATTTTGGGTCTGGAACCCATCGGGCCCACGCTTCCTTTGTCTAGTTCCTTGCTGATGTCATCCATGTAACACTTACAGGTAATTCAATCGGGAGCTTTGCCATTTGCCGGCTCTACTTTCGGATGGCACGAGTAATAGTGACCTAATTAATACTAAGCATGTCACATTTTAGTGTTTTATAAGTTATTCCGCCCGCGGCTTCGCCCGCGTGGACTTCATATTTTTTTCCAAAATAAAATGTAGCCTATGTTACTCGTGAGTAATGTAGCTTTCGAATGGTGAAAGAATTTTTAAAAACGGTCCAGTAGTTTTTGAGCCTATTCATTACAACCAAACAAACAAACAAAGTTTTCCTCTTTATAATATTAGTGTAGATTAAATAAACAAGCCTCGTTGATCAAGTGATGTTTTAGAGTTTGAATGTGAATTATGCACACCAATTAAGTTCTGAAGCGTTGTTGATCGTGGACACAGAAATTGCAGTGCCTGTAACATATGAGTAACGTCTTAACCTAACAGCATTTTAAGTTGGAATGGGGGGTTACAAAGTCTACTCGCATTTTCTTATTTACGTGCGTCATGCCTGCATCATCAAAGATTGTCTTGCAGTTTTAGCATGACTTTTGTGTTTGGGAGGCCATGCCTATGGATTTGCATAGATAACTATTAGGCAGCAGTAACTAATGGGTCCCGAAATGAAAACCTTTTGCGATAGTGCACAATTTGTAATGAAAGCACGGGTTTTGATAGAGCAAAGAATCATAATAGCGTTATTTACGCATTTAATAATCATTTTATGCGTTTTATTTTTAGTGATTAAATATTATCTGATTACTATCTTTATTTACTTATTTATAGTGAAAACGGTATTGTAAGTGACATTTTATTAAGACTGATAAACTAGATTTTTTTTAATTAAAAAGATTAAAATCTTTTTTTTAAACCACACTAATTGTTTTCGACCTGCGCACCTTCATGTAAAATCCCCATCACCTCGATGTTTTTGGTAATTTTCTATACAGAACATTAAAAAGAAAAATAGGTTCATAACATAGACATGAGTCACAATTGACTCAATTGATGCAAGTAGAAACTGTGAAGCCAGGACTTTCAGCTTGACCGCCAATAAAAAAGTAGCATAATTAATAATTTTCTAACAGGTGATATGTTTGTTAAATTGATATTCAATAACCTTACACCGTTGAAAATAATTCAGAAAACAAAAACTTTTAGAACCTATACTTTTAAACAATTTCATATTTCAATGAAATGCATTAACTCTTTTAAATTAATACTTATTCTGAAGAAAGATACCTATTTAAAACTAGGGTTACTTTCAGTATTACT